ATATCCTGCCGTTTGTTATGTAACCATTGGATGCAGGGAGAAAGAGAAGGCTTTTCTTCGGCAGTGTTTGTTTTTTTTTTTTTTTTGGTTTGTTTGTTTAGAGGGACCAATAAAGGGTCCAAGTTTGAAGAATTGGAATTTTCTTTGTTAATTATTTAATATTATTAATTCATTAAATAGTAATTATTATTATTTAATTTTGGGCTTTGGAGATTCTGTGTCTCTGCACATAGCTGTATAGCGTTCTACAACGATGCAGAAATTCATGGCCACTGAAGCTTGTTACAGCCTAGGTTTTTAACATTTGGTTGCTTATCTGCTACCATTGTGCGGAGTATTTTTCATTTTCAGGTTTTGGTTAGTGGTGCTTTGGCCCAGAGGCAATGTCTCTGCCAGGGTTCACCTCCTGGGTAAGTTCGAATCCCGGTTAAGGCGGTTGGTACCTTCCAGTGGACTCACCACCCACAGGAAGGTTTGGGGGGGTTGGCGACTGCTGCCCCCGTGACCCGGTAACGGATAAGAGGATGAAAATGGATGGATGATTTGGTTACTGATGGCCATATAATCCCAAAGAGTTGTTGGTTTTATAGAGACCTGTTTACATTGACGGTTTTTAATTTGACATCAGGTCATATTTTGTTGGGTCTTATCTGCTTATTTGATGTCAAAAGTGGAAGAATTAGGAATTAATGTGTGTGAGGCACTTCAGGTTTAGGTTATGTCTTTGGTACTATAGAATTTTTGTTTGTTTTGTGGAGGTAAAAAGCAAGGTACATGCATGTTACTTGGTTAAAAAAAAAAAAAAGGGTTGGCTTTAAATGATTGCGGCTGTCTGTCATTGTCCCACATGAACCTACTACTTGTCACGCATTTTGTCAATTCGGAGGTGGTTACCCTGATATTGAGGTGTTTTATGTTTCGCATCTTTCACTTTCTTGTCCCGCCGGTATATTTGCTGAATTGCTGTGCAGTTTGCACAGGTGCCAATATTTGATATAAATCTACGAAAATTCTCCTATAATTTTTACTAGATAAGTTAATTGGTTCAAAAATTTTAAAATTAGATTAATCACAGGGTAGCTGTGGATTTATCATTGATTAATCACAATGGTAACTTTTCATGATTCATCATGATTGACCAAGGTAAACTTCATCTGTTTTTACTTTGTTGTTATTATGTCAATTTTTACTCATCACCTAAGTTTCATGTCCAGAAATTCTATTGTTTTTGTTTATGTCGTTTCAGTTTCAGTCATCATTTATTTTTGTTCTGTGTCTTACCCCTGGAACAGGAACAAGTTTAGGTAGTTGTAACTCTTTGTGAGGAAATTTCCGAGAACTCTTGTCGGGTACCCGGATCGGATCTGATAGGCTGACAGTCCAAAGTAAACACATTTCACAAAGTACCAGAGTTGAGCCACCAGGTTCTGATTGAAGCGTCTGGAGACACAAACACAAACACACACACACCGTGTCAACTTTTGACGTGCAGCTCAGCAGGCATCAATATACGAGGTAAAGACGTGGTACCTCTCAGTGACGGTCGGCAAAATGAAGAACATCCAGAAATGAATTCCCAAAACCAGAATTAGCTGAAAAATCAACTTTCCCAAAACTGTCTTCCTTAAGTATAGAGCCCTGTCGATGACCATCGTGCCTGGAGACAGAAAGGAGGAGACTCAGTTAGCAAACATGCATTTATTAGTGACGCACCGAAATGAAAATTCTGCGATGAGGAAACCCAGGCCGAAAACCGAAAGACCGAAAGAAATTATTATTATTAATAATTATTAGTACCATTGCATTTATGGCTATGACTGTGAATAATAATATAATATTAATGTTTTAAAGAATATAACAATTACAAAATCATGAAAATAATTATTTAGCGCAATGTTAAATATTAAATGTTGCGTCCACTTACGTGTACATTAAATGATAATGTACTACTGGCCTGCTGAAAGATTGTAAAATTAAATATGTAATCTCATAAAAAAACACACAAAGTGCATTTAAGTCAATTGCTGGATCATTTCTCATGCCGTCCAAGTAATGATTTTTATAACATGGATCAAGTCCACCTCTTTTTCTTAGAAGACACCTTAGTGCTGTTTTGGCCGTGTTATTTCGGTGATAAAAGTCTTTCGGCCGAAAGAAAAAATTCGGTGCATCACTAAAATGTATACAAACTAACATTACACGTAGGTGGACATACCAAACTGGATCAGAACCATCACTAAAAAGGCTTCCGGAACTTGATCCTCCGACAGAGAGGACGTGATGTCAGCAGCCGCCGAGTGTTTCTGAAAACACATTGTAAAAGAAATGAACTGTAAATCTAGAAGGACGTGTAAAAAAAAAAAACGGAATTAATACCAAGATACCAAGGGAAAAATTACCCCAAAGGCCCAGAAGCCAAAGACGATGATGATGAAATCAATGGTGTCAGCGAGGAACATAAGGACGTAAACATCCGTGACAGCATTGTACTCTGGCTGAATGAGAGCTCTGAAGAACTGACATATAGGATCATAGAAAGACATACACCTAGAATAAAGAAAAATAATGACTCATTATGACTCAATAATAACTCATTATTGAATTATTGCAATATTAATGGGTTAGCCACGCCGAACTGTAGCCTCAATTCATTTCACAGTCACAGTACCTGCTAACAGCTACGTGTTTGGCTCTTATGGAGAGTTCCCTGAGTTTCTGCAAAAGGAGGTCCAAGCTGCTGAAAACCTCAGGTCTGGAGCTCACACTGCCTGTGGACACGAGAAAGGTCAAACTTTAACTCCAATAACAACAACAACAACTCCAGTCATTTTAAGCCAATCAGACTGCGACCGATTTCCAGCCCAATGTCTCTCTCTCCAGTAATTTTAAGCCAATCAGACTGCGACCGATAAAAAAAAAACGTCTGTACCAGCAGGGGATGGCAGCCTTGTGGGGCTGGGGAGGGTTCGGCTCCTCTCTCGGCGTCGGAGTGTGTTGGTCCTATGAAGCACACCGCTAGATTTGGCGTCATCGGTATCACTATTCAGGTGATCAGTGTGACTGGAGGCATTGGTTTCCAGGGTTACAGTCTGATCCCAGAGTCCGTGGCACTGTAGAGGAATCAAAAAGAAAAGTTTTTTATATCGCCTTTTTTTTTATATATATGTATACGGCCTACAGAGAGCTTCTTTCTGTTTCTCAGTCAAAGGAGTAAGTTTTGTTCTATTTAGAAATTCGCAGGGGTGGGGGTCAAAGGAGGACGGGGGAGGGGGGCCATGACAGAAAATAACTGCGAACCGCTGCAGTAAACCAAGCAGGTTGGTTGTGACATGATGCGGTAACTGTTAGCTTAGCAAAAACACTTGCACGGCGTTGCCTTACCTTAAGTGTAGCACGGTGGTAGAACAGTGCCAAGAGCTGCAGCAGGTCATACAGAACGTATCCTTCTTTCTTCTCTACCCCCAAAATGTTGGGAGGATGGAACGGCTTGGAACGATCCACATCCAGTTTTTGATTAAACGGAAAGAAACCAAACTGAAAGAAATACTTGATGACGATAGTGACCTGTCAAAACAGCATCAGTGACATACATTAGATTAGAATCATTAACTGGTAAACTATCAGTCGTTTGTGATCTGAGCCAGAGCTGGGATGACAGTCGTTTGTGATCTGAGCCAGAGCTGTGTGAACCTCTGTGTAGATGATGGCTGTCATCCAGAATGCCTTACTGGGGCGAGGGACCGACAGCATTGCCCACAAAAACACCAGGACCGGCAGCACGAGCGTTAGACAACTGGCCGACACCATGTGGTTTAACACTATCACCAGGTAACACACAGTCTCTGACCTGCAGGAAAGGGGGCAGAGCCATAGTTTGTGACTTGTTCAATTGCATGCATGACTATAACGAAGCACTATTATGAGGATTTTTTTTATACCTGGCTGCAAGAATGTTATAGAGGGCATAGCAGAGCTGCAACACCTGTGGCTGATTTCTATAGAACTGGTCTGATGCCTCCAGCTCATCGTTGTAAAACGTTCTGTAACAAGAGACAAATGATGCGAAGAGGCAGGAATGAAGACATTTCGACTCACCCTCTAAAGCGTGGCCCATTCTCACCTGTTCTTTAAGAGCTCGCTCGCAGTTAACTCATGAGTGCGAGATATGAGCTCGCAGGAAGCGGTGCCCGGATAGGGGAAGTTGAAGCACTCCCTTGACGCTGCCTTTTTATCCGTGTCCCCCACTTTCTCCAGCTTCTCCCGCTGAAGTGGGGTGCTGACTGATGGAGTGAGGAGTGTGAGCGAAGAAGCAGAAGAAGAAGTAGTAGAGGCTTTACTGCAGGTGTGTGACCCCTGCATATCAACAGGAAGTGGCTTATCCCCACCTTCGTAATCACTACACAGAGAGGAGAAATGTATGTAAGAACAGGTTAAGACGAAGTTCTAATTTCTGGACTATTTAGCGAAGCTGAATATAAGCCACGCCCACTAAATTTAAAAAGAAAAAAAATAATTGTACATATAAAGGCCACACGTCTCTATAAGCCGCACATGTCCACGTTGTAACATGGGATATTTACACAAAAATATTTTTTTTCATTTTTAATTGGCTGGTTACACGTTAGCTCTTTCCTGCTTCCGTACCCTGACCGTAGTTGGAATGTACAGGGGAGACTTAGGGATCTGCTCCAGGGCGGAAGCTAACATTAGCTTCGGGGCTAACTCCCTTCACTTTGTGTCCACAGCAGAGGTAAACAGAAACAGGGAAGTTGGGGTCTTTATTATCAGCCACTCCGACCACAACAGAACATAAACAGCTCCTGTATAACCAACTCACTCTTCAACATGACAGGGCTCAAACTGCTCTCAACTTTTGCTACCGCTCTCACTCTCTCGCACGCCCCACGCACATATACGCACACAGCCATTCACAGACAGACATACGCTACTAGTATAACACACAGTAACTAACCAGAAGTTGGCTATAGAAGTTGGTGTGAACATCGTTAGCCCTCGTAAAAATTAGCCGCAGCATTGTTTAAGCCGGAGGGTTCGAAGTGTGTGAAAAAAAAGTAGCGGCTTATAGACCAGAAATGACGGTAGTTTAGTAAAGCTTTACTAACACCCGGAGCACAAACCTGTATGGGAGGTTTTCATCTTCTAATGATGAAGAATCGGACTGAACCCGGTTCATCCTGGACAGTTTAACTCTTGGTCTCTGGCTGGTTTTAGCTATTAAACATGCAGGGGTGCCATCTGCTGCATCTGGTATATGATCACAATCAGGAGCTTCTGGTTCATTTTCTATGTCGGAGTCGGTTTTAGGATGATGGGTAGGATGGGTAGGGTCCAATATATCTGTAGCTAGTGCTCCAGTGTCTGATTTTATTTCAGCTTTTTCAACCTCTTCAGCATCACAATGAGCTCTTTCGTCATGTCTTTCCTCAGGCTCCACCGTATCCAACCCAGATTCTGTTGATGCTCTCATCATCTGCTCCTGGTAGTAGACACTGATCGCCTCTCTGCTTGGTAAGTGACCCTGATCATGACCAGAAATGGGAAGAGTCGTGTCAATGGGGAATTGATTTAACACATTTTAAATTGAAATATTAATATCACATATTAATTCTGAATCAATTATCTTACTGAATTTCTCCAGTTAGAAAAACAAATACAAGGAGTCTGTTCTTACGGCACAATGTAACTCGATTTTCAGCTAAAGTCGGAATTCACATTCACTGTACGCGAGCACCCACGTCACTCACCTACGCTAACACAGAGGTAACGTCAGTAAGAGTCTGACTTACACCATAATGAGTCATAACGAAAGGCAAAAAGTATCCGAGCAAAAAAAAAAAAAAAACAACACAAATGAAAGAAAGTCAATGTAGCGCAATCTTGAGAATAAAATAAAATAGTAAAAATGTTAAGAAAAAACTTGCAATCTTATGAGTTTTTAAAGTCACAATGTTACGAGATAAACGCTGTTGTGTAAAAAGTTATAACGTTACAATAATAGAGTAATTATATTTACAAGATTTAAGTTGTTAATTTAGACGAAGCATCTTGTGAGGTGATACATTGGTGCTGCATTCTTCCGCCTCGAACATCATATCGCATCATAACAAGCACCAGGACACTACTTTACCAAAGAAAGAAGCACGAGGACCTGGGTAAATAATACCACGGGATCAGACCGTCGGGAACTCATTTTCCACAAGAAACAGTTCTCGATTTCTACCCTTAGATGTGAGTGCTCTGAATACCTGTTTGGCCTGTTGAGTGAGCATGCAGTGCTCGATGCGCAGAACGGTCGAGATGTCGATATGTTCCACGCAGAGACTCCTGAGACAGGCCGTCAGAGAGTCGAGCAAAGCTGACAGCAAAACCCAACAGAACTGCAGCGTGTTGGAGAACCGGTGCAGAACTGTGTCTAAAACACATCATCATCATCATCATCAGCACTTTAGTTACTGTTCCATCACTGCTCATTGCATATTGTATTGTCAGTCCGAAGAAGACACCTCACCTGAAACATCGTCCTCTTCCTGCTCTCCCTCCTGCTCCTCCTCCACTTCTTCACGATCCTCCTTCTCCCTTATCTCTTTGACATCGCCTGCACGGAAAACACAAGACACAATTGTCACATCGCCTTACGGATAAGACTGTCGATACTTTAACGAACTAACTAACGTTACTCTTTTCCACTTACGTCTTCCTCTCCCCTTTTCACCTCCCCTCTTGTCCTCCTTGCTTTCCTTTCGGGTCCTCTCAAGATTCTTTCTTTGTTTGTAGCGGGCTCTCATGGCTGTTCTAGAGTCAGTTATCCAGGCGTGGTACACAAACTGATGGACAGTGAAGGACAGTGATGACATCGTTCTATCTGTCTTCTGCATGGACACATGGTCAATGTTTTCTTCACTTACCTGAAAGGCAGACTTCTCTGGAGGCTCCTCCTCTTTCTTCTTCTTAACGTCCTTCTTCTCTTCCTCATCCTCTTCTTCGCTGTCCGTCTCAAACAGGTAATAGTCGCCACTCCTCACCACTGCAAAAAAAAAAAAAAAAAAAGTATAACATTGCTGCAGACCGGAAAAATTAATCTTATGAAAGTTCCGGACATGACTTACTAGAAGCGGGAT